AAAAAAAAAAAAAAAAAAGGCAAAGAGGGTGATGATACCCACCGCAAAGATGAAAGGAAGGATCGACCCGCTGACGCTCGAGGCTCCCAACCCGGGGCAGGCACGAAGTGAGCGCCAGGGAAAGGGGACATATATCAGGGCGAGCAGAGATGGAGTCCAAACGGACGCTATCTGCCCGCTGACCGCGCCTCCCTCGCGGTCCAGCCTGGCCCCGGGGCTGTGGACCCTGGCCGCCCTCGCCACCCTCGGCTGTCGTCTCCTCGCGGCCAGCCAGCACCTGAGGCGAAGCGCGGCGCTCGAGTCCGCCCAGTCACACCCAGCGGAGCGGGCGCCGCTTCCGGGAGTTTGAATCCCGCGGCTGCGGGGCGGGGCACGTCACTGCCGGCGGGGGCGCGGCCGGCAGGAAGGGGGGAGCGGCATACGCGGCGAGCCCGAGCCTCCCCGATTGGCTGCGGCCTCCGAGAGGCGGGGCCTAGACCGGACGAAGTGGGCCCGACGGGGCGGGGTCGGGGGAGGGACGGAAGACTGGAACTCCGGCCCAAGGCCCCGCAGTGCTATTTTGGGTTTTTTTTTCTGGGTTTTTTTGAGGTCTCAAACCTCAAACTCGGTGTTTCTTTGTAAGCAGCGGATTTATGTTTATCTGCTTTGGGGATGAAGTACATTACTATGTTCAATGAGTTAATTCAGTCAATAACTGAACGGGGACTAACTCATCCTGTGTCCTTGAGTGTAACTTGCCCTTCTAGGTACCAGTTTTGCCCTTTGTGGAATGGGAGAACTGCCTTCCCCGAGAAGACAGCCTGTCTTCCCATTGGGCTGAAGCTTTCTCCTGCCAAAAGTCAGGGGTGGAGCATTGGAGAGTGTAGCAGGTGGGAGAACTGATAGGCACGCCCAGACTGAACTCCTAGATTATGAGTCATGCAGGAGACCAGGCAGCCCTTTGCTCCAGATTGCTGCCCTCCGGCTTGATGTCTGTAGGTCAAATCTGAGTCATTCTTAGCTGCCTACAGGGCTCTATTGCTGCAAAGGGGCACAAAGAGTGTTTGGCAGAGCCTAACATTTCTCTCTTAGACCAAGCATAAGCTCATCAAGATTTAATAATAGGATACAGTAGCAAAACGTCCTGGGAAAACAATGTCACACACCAGAACTCTAGATTACGACTGCATCTAACTCCTGGCTTGACTGCCTCTTACTGGATGTGTGATCTTAAATAAGTTATTTAACCTCTCTGAGCCTCAGTTTCCTGATCTGTAAAATAATGTAAATAATAATATCTACCCTCTAGAATGGATATAAGAATTAAATGGAAGAATCTGTGTAAAGTGCTTGGCATTTAGTAAATGCCCAGTTGATATCACCCATTATTACACAAAAAGTAACAAACTCCTATGTAACTAAATAAAATGGATGAGAAGCCATGTAGAGAATTTTAAGGATTTTTTTTTTTAATAACGCAAGAAGATAACATTTGGTCCCTGCTTCCAAAGAGCTCACATTTCTGATGGGAAAGTGAATAGAATTGAGCTCTTTCACATCTGTTGTGTTAAAGTGTCAGATGGGATTGGGGTGGGAGGAATTCCTGGCAAAATAAGGGAGGTTGTGAATGATATGCATTGCCCACAGTTGCAAGGACAAAATTAGTTTCCATAGAAATTTGCAAAAATTTTTGGAGTGACAGAGAAAGAAATCTCCCTGCTCAGTTTAGAACCAAAATGGGAATAAAGAAGAGAGGGAGTTGGGGGGTGGGGAGACAACTCTGTGAAGAGGGGTGGCACCTGGCAGACTGGCAGTGGGGGACCTGCTGGGCCAGACACCTCAATTACACATTCTTCTGGTGGGAGCTCCCTCTGTGACTGGGGACCCCAGAGGAAGAAGAGCAGGCAGGAGACCTACTGGCCCCATGGCTTGCTGAATTTTGTAATTTTGTAATTTCCTAATTATTAGACCTGAAAATCAACATTTGCTCTTCACCGACAGGTGCCACCAGGCATGAAGTGTGAGGAGCTGTAGTTTGTATAAGGCCTCACAAAGGTGCTAGGACTTTGATGCTGACTTCACTCTGAGGAATCCTAGGGCAAGGATTCAGAGAGCAATCTAACAGCCAAGCAGACTGGATATTTATTTCAGCAGGTTATTTTATTTTCTTCCCAGTGGGAAAATCTACTTGTGAAACCAGAATGGTACCAACAGCCTGCTGAATATGTTTGGCCTTAAGAAAAAGAAATAGTGGGGCTGTTTGTTGTAGGTGAGTATGATCAACACCTTTGAAAGGTTAGGTCTTTCCCAAGACCTAAAAGGATAGTAATGAATGCCCAGGGCCTCACCAGCAGATACCACGTACTTTCCAAATACAACTTTCGGCAGTGAGGGAAAAGTTCCTTCTGCTCTGTCCAATATGTGGGACTAGACATACAGCTGTTGAGTGCTTGAACTGTGGCTACTGTGATTGAGGAACTGAATTTTTCATTTTACTTATTTTTAATTTAAAACCTGGTAGTTGATTCAGTTATTGGAAAACTTTTAACTATGTTTGGAACAACTTGGGTCTGCAAACCTATTTTTTTCAACTGTAAAGTTTATGAAATCTAAATACAGATGTATTTCTAATGAAAATTTCATTTCTGAATTGGGATGTGTGAACTACACAGCAGATTTCAAAAACTAGTATGAAAAAGAGAACATAAGGTATTTCACTAGTAATTTTTTATATTTTTACATGCTGAGATGGGGATGCCTGGGTGACTCAGTCAGTTAAGCATCCGACTTCGGCTCAGGTCATGATCTCGCAGTCATGAGTTCAAGTCCCGCACCGGGTTCTGTGCTGACAGCTCAGAGCGTGGAGCCTGCTTCAGATTCTGTGTCTCCCTCTCTCTCTGCCCCTCCCCTGCTCTCACTCTGT